TTGAAGCTGAAGTTTTGAAGTTATTGAGGCTTCGGAAAGGCGATTTTTTCCTTCTGTTCTGGAGATACTGGGGGTGTCAAGCACTGAGAAAAAACGTAAAATATCACATTAAGTGGTGCAAAATTGAGATAAAAAGTCTTAACTGCGGTAAAAGGCGAAAACTGGGCCCAAAAAACAAACGTTTTTGCAAGGACGCAAAAACAGATTATACTTTCTTTTCCAGGACCCAGAACTAGGAATTCGATTGCTTTGTAGAAAATGATGATTTGGACGTATGATTTTTTAGATCTCACTGATTTGACATTGATTTTCAGGTACCAACTGGACCGGTACAACCTGAGCAGCAGCCCGCTATGGTGACGCCGATGATGTCTTCGTATCAACAACAGATGCCGGTGGTAGCAGGAGTAGATGTTGTAGCATCGGTACCACCAGCAACTGAACCACAATGGAACAACGCAATGCCAATGGCACCCGCAGCACTTCCTCAACAACATATGCAACCCATATAAAAACTAAAACCCATCTGTCATGTGTAACTTACATGTAAAAAGACTTCAACATTTTGATATGCAAATATACATATATACATCTGTCGAAATAAAACTTTGAAAAGCTTCTGTAGTTTCATTAACACCATCAAATCATTGATAATACACCTGTTCTTGTTGATTTTTATCATCAAAACGGGTCAACGTGCTGGTAATTTTCGACTCGTCAAATGAAGAAACTTTATTCGCTCTCAGCTTTACCTAAGCATCAGCTTCATAAATGGAAAATCCCATACTGACGACTGGTTTTTACAGGACGCTTTCCATTCGCACAGATTCGAGTTTTTATTTCTTTTGTTTTTACCTCTTTTGCTTCCTGCCTCGAATCCTCGCGTGCAAAATTCTCATGCACCACCCCTCACCACCCCATCCCCGACTCCATCTCACTTGCGGCATCGAGCGCCCTCCACATCGAAGTGGGGGTCCATAACCATCCGAATAAATTTTTCGCAAATCCTGTATAGCGGCGGCAGGCCGATCCGTGGTTTGGTGCTTGCCTGAGGTGTTGTGCCGCGCAGCTTTTCATTCGACCGAGTAGCCATGCAAAGTGCAAATGTGCGGACGTGTTGCATGGCTACTCGGGCCGGATGAAAAGCTGCGCGTACAGCAATTCAAGCAATTACTGTCAAGGTGCCAAATTCTTCGTCATGTCAAAGCGATTGGTTGTTCCGAGCGGTCGCATGTGCATCTTGGTGGTTATCGTGGGGAAAGGAGGTGGAGGGAGAGTGTATTCTGTTGAGGTGCATTTCGCATCGCATCAGTCACTTGACCTGGGAACCTATCAGATTGTTGCGTGACCACTTACCTTGCGTACCTGACAACTTTTCCACTTGCTTCGACCAATGTTTAGTTACCTGGTGATAAAAAGTGAGCCCGCTGGCGACCCGTACAATTGTGGTAACGGTAAGAAATGTATACGGCTTAATGGACCGGAGCATTTCCTACCTATTACAAATATTTCAATACTCTTATTCGCTTCTTTCACTTCGTTTTCCCCCCTTTTTTATGCGTTTTGTGCTGTGTAACAGCAGTACGAAACGCGTATTGTTACGGGGTTGTCTGTGTGTATGTTTGAGTGTGTGTGTGTCCACAGCAACCTGTCCGCGACTTTCAACTCGGGAACCACAAAAGCTAGGAAGCTGAAAATTTAGGGGGACATTCCTCACCCACGTGTGACCTCGCAAATTTAAATTCAGCTTCCCCGTACCCGCGGATAACGCGTACGGCCCTGCGAAAGTTTTTTACGGGTAAGTTAATATCTCGGTAAACACGGAGTCTAGGAGGCTGAAGTTTTAGGGTAATGATGTCCTGCCCACCCTCAACCTTGCCCATTCAGATTCAGCGTTCTCGCGCTCTCGGTTACCACCTACGGCCTCGTGAGAATTTTGACGGGTAAACTATTAACTCGGGAGCCACGGAGAGACATTTACCCTTCAGGGTTTCGAATTCAGCTTTCATGCGCAGGTTTATGAAATTTTTAACTGTTTTCCAATGTTTGAACTATTTTTGCATAAAGTAAAGTACGAAGCAGTGAAAATCATTAACAGGCAATCGTTCGATGGGCTGAATTGCACAAAACGCA